ATAAAGCTAAAATGTAAAATTCACAAAAAGTACATTAAAAGAGTAGTGCTTTGATGATTAACTGAACTTTATTTAGAGTATCCCATTTTGCCCAGCATAGTTTATGTCTGTTGCACTGGTTCAACTTCACAGGAACTTCTTTTACTCTTAAAATATTTGTGTTTAGATGATAAATTATATGGTCATCCTATGTTTATTCTAGGAATGCAAGGATGGTTTTATATAAGGAAATAGAATCACATAAATGGAAGGAGTCTCAGCATTGTACCACTGGCCTGTACTCCATGTCTCATGCAGTATTATTTACACTTTTATAAGTTCTTATAAACATCTGCCTTTTTCGCCTTCACTTTCTTTTGCTCACTGCATCACAGCTGTGACATATGTTCCTTTTACAGGGTCCCTTGAAAGGCTTTCTGGAAGATTTAGGCAGACTGCAAAAGAAGTTTTATGCCAAAGACGAACGGTTACGTTGCCCCATCAGGACCTACCTGGTTACAGCCAGGAGTGCAGCCAGTTCAGGCGCCCGCGTGCTGAAAACCCTTCGCCGCTGGGGTCTAGAGATAGACGAAGCTCTTTTCCTTGCTGGAGCCCCCAAAGGTCCCATCTTGGTGAAGATAAGGCCTCACATCTTCTTTGATGACCACATGTTCCACATTGAAGGGGCACAGAAACTTGGGACCATCGCAGCTCATGTACCTTATGGATTTAATCAAAAAATGAACAATTAGGAATGGGGAGGAGAAATAAAGCAGTGAGTCTGGTCTTACAGGAGCCACTTCATGTGGATCTCTAGGGTAATTAGGTATTTCAGTAGATTAGACTTCAGAACTTTGTTCATTTGGAAAGGTGTTTCTCTTGAGTTTTGGAAAACATTTTGAACTCTCAAGTTACCTTCAAGCTACTTCTCTTGGAGCTGTGAGTGCTGGTGATGCCATTGCACCTACTTTTGTGTGTAAGTCATAATGATAATTTTTAGTATAAGTTTAAAACTTGAATGCTTAAATGCTTAAAGGGCTATGTCAGAAGCCTACTTAGTTTTACAAAGCATTGCTCATTTTTGGATGTTGGTAGCCATAATGAATCATTACCCATCGTCATTATAGAATAGCGGGTTTTCGTAGGTGGAAAGAGTAGGGTTAAGCAAACTCTTGAAAATTGGAGCTTGTCGGTCTGTTGCCTCTGTAAACGTTTAGTCTTTTAATCGTGGCAAAAATGAAGATGTTACTCCACCTGCATTGGAGTATACCAATTTTGACATTGCCCATTTAGAGATAAAGGAGCTGGTTATTCATATAGGTTATTCATGTAAGATGAACTCCAGACAGAACCTCTGGAAGGGTTCTCTGAAGCTTATTTAGTGGGTTCATTCACTGTTGTCATTCTGTTGTGATTTGTGTCTTGATTTCAAAAAACATTGATTCGTAATAATATTAACCATAATCTGCTATAATGTTAGGAACAGTAAGCTGGTTATTTTCACATGTTACCTCATTTTTTCATCAAACCAAACATTTGTGACATAATATTATGATTACTTTCCTTTTTATCAATGAAGAACCTAAGATTCAAAAAGATTAACTAGTTTATCCAAGGATAATAAATGGTAGGATAAAGATTCAAATTCAGGTCTTACTTCAAAATCTACCTGTTGTCTATTTTCTCTGTGTTATAGAGCCTTCCAAATTGAGTTGCTATTAATTCCATGGCTGTAGGACCCACCCCAAACAAATGAGTCATCACATTACATTTTATGCTTAAGCTACATGGCAGTTACACAGTAGGTCAGGGGACTCCTCCACTCTTCCTCACACCCTCTCTTGCTCCTTCTACCCCCACCTCCATCCCTACCTCACCCACATAGACATATTCCACCCCTGGTTCTCATTAAAGCAGACCACTACTGACACATATCTTTCGATCTGCTTCCTGATTTGATGTAAGCCTGTACAAAATATATCATTCATGACACTTATTGAGTACCTACTGTTTTCTAAGCATTCCCCAATATAAAGACCACAAGAGAGACTCAGACATAATCCTATCCTTTAGAAAATTTAAAACTTTTAACAATTCCTTAGAGGAAGTCAAATGTGCAAGCTCACATACCCCACACTAGAGAGGGCTGTTTGTTCTCAGCGCCAAGTGAGGGTCACACAGGAGGCTGAAACAGAGATCTGTATGGGCTGGAAGTGGTCAGGAAATGGAGAGAACTGAGGTGGGCTTTGAAGGACAGGAAAGAGGTGGGTGGATAGAAAGGAAGAGGGAGAGAAAGCATGTGCTTCTGGCTCAGTGAGTTGGAGAAGCAGCTTCAGGTTACAGACAGGGTGGAATAAAGGCCTACCCCTCATGATTTCTGTTTCTGGTGCCATGTCTAATCCTCCATGTTAGTGCCCCTTCCTCTCTCTGAGCTCCATTCTCAGCACTCATAAGAAACCTTCTGGCATTATATCCCTTTTCTTTGTATTGTGACTTTGTATTGCATATCACTCCCAAATATAAGGGAGTGGAGGAGAGTTTATCAGAATTTTCTAGGGAGCTTATTTCAAACTATGGAAGTTGTGTGTCTCTTCTCTTGTCCTAAAGATTCTAGAATGGGGGGTGGGGCAGAGTAGATCTCTGTACCAGACAGTAAACACCCTGAGGGTAGAAATGTTGCCCTATTTCTTTGTGACTTTCACAGGGCACAGGGCCTGTCACATAATGGATGGGGAGGCGGGTAGATGAATGTATGACAACTTAACAGTAGCTTGGTCTAAAGTATGAAATTTGCAGCCTGAAGGTTGATGCTGTTACCATAACCCCTGACATTTCTGAAGCATTTTACAGTGTAAAAAACTCCTTCCCTTCGTTGTTACATTTAATATTCTCCGGGAGGCTGTGGGGAGACACTTGTGAATGGTCCTGCCCATTAAGTCTGTGTTTACAGTAAGTCCAAGCTTTTCCCAGTGTACCTCTGCCAGTGTCAAATAAGACCATTTAAGGATGACTTTTTATATAGGGACCAATGCACAAGGGCCTTCAGTTTTCAAACCGTGGTTCCCAGATCAGCAACATCAGAATCACCTAGGAACTTGCTAGAAATGCAAATTCTCAGGTTTCGTCTTGAACTCCAATATATTCAAAACTCCAGTGCCTGAGCCCTGAAATTTCTTTCTTTCTTTTCTTTCTTTCTTTCTTTCTTCCTTTCTTTTTTTTTTTTTTTTAACAGTTCCTGCAGGTGATTCCGATGCGACACCAAAGTCTGTGAACCACCGGTCCATTCTATTTCTAACGGATTCAAGTTTCTAAGTTCTTAGAGTCATCTGTGGGGGAAAAAAGCCTTTCCTCAGACTTCAGTTCGGCAGGCACCATTCTCCAGAGGACGAAGGTAAACTGAACTGAGGGTTAACAAGCCCCAAGAGTCCTTAATGGAAACGCACACTAAGCCAGCCCTGAAGAGTGGGATTTGTAAAGCAGCCTATAAAGAGATTTGTAAATTCAAAGTATTCATTAGGCATTCCCACGAGGAAGACCACCACCACTCTGGGATTTCCATGGGCAGGGACCTCAGAAAACTGAAAACCGAGGGCCCGTCCTCACCCTCCACTCAGGCTGGGAGCCGGATCCACCGAGGCGCCACGAGCCAGGCGCTGAACTCTCCTAACCAATCAGGTGCCCTTGGAAGGGAGACTACAAATCCCAGCATGCCCCACGCTGCCGTCAGGGGACGACAGTGAGCGCCCCAGAGTTCTTTGCGTACCGGTGGCAGCCCCAGCCCCCGGCGCGTGGCGACTCCGGAAGTCCCGCGCAGGGGCCGGTGGGCCTTCGGCCCAGGCGGCTATGGCAGTGGCTACTGTGGCGGCATTACTGGCCGCATTGGGTGGGGCCCTGTGGCTGGCGGCCCGGCGGTTCTTGGGGCCCAGCGTCCAGCGGCTGCACGGAAGCGAGCACTCCAGCCTCATGCACGGGAAGACCGTGCTGATAACGGGGGC